TTTTCAAAAAGAGCAAGACTGGTCACTTAACTATTTAAATCATGAAGTTTATCAATGAGAGACGAGACATTCATGGTCATCCTATTTAATTAACAACATAAATATCTATTTTTTATTGGAAATAATCCCAATAGCTATACTTTAAAATTAAAGTCATGTTTTGAATTATTCTTATTCTCATTTATTCATTATCGCTGTTTAACTGTTGATCTAAAAAACGGATGATCAGCTCTTCAACTCCTTTGTTCGTTCAATGCAATTTTCACTTTGTCCGTGCAACTATTCAATAGCGTTGTCCGTTTTTGTACCCAAGCCCTAAGATAAGGGGACTTTTTGGGCAAGCATATGAATAAACACACCTTTTTGGAAGATTTTTTAAGCGGAATTATCTACATTTAATATTAAGTTATTATGTCTAAAAGCTACATTTGTATTTTCGGGCGTTTTTCTACAGTCTTTTGAGCAAGATGACATAAAATATATTATGCTGAAAATTTTTTTTTCTTTTTTTTATGTTTGGCACATATACTAATTTTAATATTAGATCCGTGCCATTTTTTGATAAACTGAAATAAATAAAATAAGTATCGCGAATAAAATTAATGAATATAAATTTAAACTATAAATACATTAATAATTCATAACTCTGTCGGGAAAGTAGCTCGAATTGTATTAAAAAGTAGCTTAATTTTTTCTGACAGTATGTTCCCATTCTTTCTTAAAGTTAAATGAAAAAAATATAGTTTTACAAATTCTTATACTTTTATTTTGGCTGTAGAAAATTATAATAAAGCTTCAGAAATGAATATTTATTCATAAATATTTCTTATTTCTAGAATTTTTTTTCCATATCTATTCAGAACTCTTGTTTTAGAGGAAAATCATCAGAACTGCAATTAGCAAAACAACTTATAGTTAAACAAACACATATTGGTTTCTGGACGTGCTTCTGCGATCTTTTGATCAACTTATATTATACAGGGTGTTTATAAATTCCCGGACCAATTTTGATGTTTAATAACTCATAAAATAATGAAGATATAAACAAACTTATGGTATTTATTGGTGGAATAACTCATATATTTTCCTTTTCAGGTTTGAATATCTTTACTTTTGTAAATATCGTCCGCGCGTGTGGTTAGTTTCAGATAATTTCATTTTCCAGTCTAAATAACTATACTTTTCTAAATATTGTCTGCTTATTAATCGCATTTTTCTCTCTTTTGTTTTTGGCATTTATTGCAATGTTATGTTTACTTTTGATGTGTTTGTTCCATGTAATACTTTTCCATGTGATGTTTTATTCGAGCGGATATTAAAGAGAATGCATACGCGGCAAGAGAAAGCACAGATTTTATGGTGGTTCATAGAAACGAAATCGATAGTGCAAGCACAGAGAAATTGCTGAAGAATTTACCGAAAAGATCCTCCATCCAAAAGCGGATCTTGTGGAAAAAGAATTTTCTAGAAACTGGAAACAACCGCAATAGCCTCTGTGGATGCCGACATGCTTTGCCGCTACCTGGCGTGAAATTGACTATCGACTTGATATTCTCCGTGCGACGAAGGGGGCACACGTGGAAGTTCATTGACAAGGGTCATGAAACTTTTTGAGTCTATCTAACCATTTATGTTATTAATTTTAATCTACCTTTATTATTTTATGAGTTATTAAGCATCAAAATGGGTCCGGGACTTTATAAACACCCTGTATTATATCAAACTGAAAATTTATTTATATTATTTTTATGCCTTTTTCACATGTTAATGAGAATATTAGATGAATACCGTATTTTTTAAGTAGAATGAAATAAATAATCATTATGAATAAGGTCAATAAATAAATTAAAACAATAACTATATTTATATTCATAACTGAGTCGGGAAAGTCACATACAAAAACTCAGAATGTATTAAATGTTGCTTTATTTTTACCGACTGCATGTTACCATGTTTGCTTAAAATTTAAATAAGCAAAAGTTTATACAGATTCTTGAACATTTATTTTTTATAGGAAATCAAAATATATTTACACACTTTATTTCTAGATATAATAAGCACTCAGAACTCTTGTATTAAAGGAACATCATCAGAGCTATCGCCATGCAGTTCGTAATCAATACCAGTATCAGGAGATTTTTCAGGCAATTCGTATCGCAGCATATGCCAGAACAACTTATCTCCGAATTTGTGACACCTTGACGATTCCATCACTCTCTTTAGACTCTGATCCATCTCTTTCAGGGGTGGGTAGGGTCCACGCGTCACGAGGATGATCCGATGCAATTTCTCCTCCATTGAATTCGCAAATGCCACTCTAAATATCTCCATGTATAACTCATTTTCCAAGTAGTTCCTGTTTTCAGGCAGTGTATAGAAAATTCACATGATACATTCGTTTATGAACAAATAAAATCCAGATATCTTTGGTTCAAATCAGCATAAAATAATAAAAAGTATAAAAATATTTAACAGTGAATAGGTAACGAAGTCATGGTTCTTTTTTGGTATAAAAGCATTTTTTGGCATAAAAGCACCTAGGAATCTTTGGATTCAACCCCTCTCGAATTGCAAGATATTTTTTCTAACAAATGGATATAAATAGTTTTACTTAAATATAAAAAGTTACACTAAAAAAAAACATTAATTTATTTTCCACTTCAACAAAGATGAAAAAGTCAACTATGTAATCCTGCCTGATCCTCGTTAAACTGTTCTACCGTAAAATGCTCCATTTCCCACATAGGTTGTCGAGCTACCGAAGCGGGGATGCCCTCCCTTCCCTCTGCAGAGGATCAAAACTGTGATGTCATGTGCTCGGATTATCCTCAGGGATGTTTCTCATACCGTTGCCAATAGACCATCGATCTGCTGTATTACGAAATAAATAAAATACAACAACGAAAAATTTACAACAAATTTTTCCAACTTCTTCAAAATTTTTCTCATTTTCGATTTCGTAGTCCTATTTTAAAGTCTTTTGATTTAAGGCATTATGGGTATTCTAAGGCGTTTATCCTTTTAACTAGCTCATCACATACAAACGTACAGTAGTTTTGAAATGAGTGATAATTTGTGCTTTTGAAACAAGCCAACAAGCCTCTAGCACTGGATATAAGAGTAAATCAGTAAAAAATTATTCTGTTTTTCGTGATTAATTTCAGGACAAATTTTATAACTAATTACAATTCAAACCGTGCATTTCATTGTGATCCCCAATTATTGCGATTGTCCTGATTATTATTTTGCAAGATTTACTGACGCTTTAAATTTTAAAATATAATAAAAATACGTTATTTTATGCCAGATATTTAACAATGTAATGCCAGTTACTGTGATTTTGTTGCACAGGACATAGTTTGCAAATCCCTGTCGAAGAGTGCCGCAAATCTAGATAGAGGTTTTAGAGAGGTTTCATTCTTTTTATTTGAAAAAGAAATTGAGGATGGAATATTACTAATAAAACTCTTAGAATTAAGAAGTCAAAGTCATTTTCTCTGCATTTAAAGAAAACTCTCTTGAATTAAAAAAAACTAGCGGAGATGAAATGAGACAACATTTATTCCATACAAAAGCCTTTTTTACTAAGAACTTAAACTCTGCATTATTTTGGCTATTTTAATTATATTATTACTTATTTAATTATTTTAATTATAGTATTACTTTAAAAACATAATTACGACTGTAAACAAGTATATGACTTAAATTTATAATTAATAACCGCAATACTCCAGATTTTTTTCATTTTAAAGCAGAAATACATAATTTTCCACCCTCTTCTTGTAAAACAAAAGTTTCCATGATTCTTTTTTTTTTGTTACGGATTATTATTATTCTTAAATTGTACATACAAACTTCATAATTTTCTCTCGAGGTTCATATTTTACTGCACTTTATTCATAAACTAATTTATTAAATGGTTTTTTTTTGTTATTAACTAGTTAAATGCTAGTTCTTCGTAAGGGATGAAAAATAACGAGAAAGTAAATAACTAGCAAATCGTATTAATCAACAAAATAAAAATCATGCTCAATACTGAAAAGCATATCACAACACAATTAAATAAACTAAAATAAGTATAATTTTTTTTCTGTAACTATTTAAAACGTGTTATTCAGAATTTACGACAATTTTCCAATTGCTTAGTTGATATCTTTAAATTTATTTTATTAGTTCCCTTTCTATAATTTTAGTTTATATAAACATGCTTTAAAAGAGAAAATATTATTATAACAGGATCGCAGTTTCATATACCTTTTAAAATACGAATTCGGTGTCTTCATCCAACGCATTCTACAACTGAAAGCCTCCACACGGTTTCTTATAGGTAGTCCGATCAAACCACTATCAAAGTAAACCAGTTTACGAAAGAGTTCTTTAATAGAAAATCTAGTAATACTAAGAAAGTGGTAGCAAATATATGTCTAAAAAATTTATTCAATTTATGAATATGATTGGTTCGTTTCATTTCCTTGTCAACCACTGCAGATTCAATTCTCAAATATATATAACGCATTGCTCTCAATTAGTTTCGAAATAGAATTTGGGTTCATGCGCACAACTGGTTCACTTTTTAAATAATTTGAGCAGATAACTTATAAAAAACCGTGTGAAGGTTTTCTGATTCAGGAGGTATTGCCTCATCACCATAATTCGTGAAATTCTTGACGTTTATTTTGCTTGTGATACCCTAACATAGGAAGGTAGATATTTAATTCACGTTGCACTTGAGCTGCACAATGAGCTATTGTCGTCGGTTTGGGAAACATCCCTGAGGATGAACCGAAGACATGCCATCGCAATTTGTGAGGCTCCTCAAATTATACGTAGGGGAAAGAAATTTTCTCCTGATCCCTTATGTCTCCCCCCTGTATGTAAAAAAATTACAGTGCATTTCATGGTGTTTATTTTTCTGAGCATATGTTACAATGTTTTCGTGCATAACAGTAAAAAAACTGTTGTTTTTGTTACACATGAGAAATGTTGACTCATAGATACATTATTTTGAGTGATAATTTTCAGCAAAAAGGAGAAAATAGGCCAAAACATTCTGAATAGTTAATATGATTGCGTCTATAGCTTCCATGAATTAAATAGCATCTATCTCATGTGAGCTTCTTTGAGTTACAATCAAAATTGAAAAAATTTAAAACGTATTCCATAGTGTTTAATTTTTTCTGACTGTACATTAATTACAATGTTTCTTACCAACTGCAATTTTCAGTTATAAAAAATAAAAATATAGGTCCAAAAAAGGTTAGATTTATAAAACTAGAACTTCCCGACACATCTAGAATTCTTGTATCAAAGGCACATCGTTAGGTTGGTCATCTAGCAGTTCATAATCATCAATATTCGGTCTTTTTTCAGGCATTTCGTATCGCAACATTTCCCAGAATAACTTCTCTCTGAACTTGAGACACCTTGAAGATTCCATCACTATCTTCAGACTCTGATCCATCTCTTTCATGGGAGGAAAGGGTCCAAATTTCACAAGGATGATCCGATGCGATTTCTCCTCCAGTGAATTCGCAAATGCCACTCTAAGTATCTCCATGCAGAACTCGTTTCTCAGATAGCGCCTATCCAAGAATAGAATCAGACATCAGATTTAATTCAGACCATTTTTTTCTGCATATTTCAATATGACATGAAACAACAAAGTTGTGTGTTTTTTTAAAAAAAGTGGATATTAATTAATTTNTATATATTCTTCGTTACTAGTAGACGTCCAATTAGACGTTAGCACTAGTCTTATTCAGTTAAAACAATTAAACAAATCAATTAAAACAAATGAAACAAAATTTTGAATCTAAATCTATATATATAAAAATCTCTTGTCACAGTTTTAGTGTTTAAACTCCTCCGAAACGGCTTGACCAATTTTGATGAAATTTTATGTGTATATTCAGTAGGTCTGAGAGTAGGTTTATAACTAATTTTTTTCATTTTTGGGACAAATTTAAAGTATATTTTAAATATATCTTTATTTAATCGTATTCGGATACATGCTAGACATAGAAACATAACAATTAAAAAACATTATTCAAGTACGTTGCAACAAGTCATATTAAACTCTAATACTTATGCTCGCCCTTAAAAGAAGAGCATCAAGCATATTTGCAAGTATGGCAGTATTTCGAGTTGAAAATACCAAAGTGACTGCTCTTCCAATGAATAACCATGACGGAATAACGCTGTGCCAAATTGGACAGTACATCAGCCCCAATGAAGCTATTTGGCGTATCTTTGGATTCCCAATTCATGAACGGGATCCAACCGTTAGTCATTTAGCCGTCCATCTTGAAAATGGTCAGAGCGTATATTTCACGAACGAGACAGCGATTGACCGAGCTCTAAATCCACCAAAAACTACACTCATAGAATTTTTTTGAATTGTGTAATCGTGCGGATGCTTTTGGTGCCTTTGCACGGACATTACTCTACTCAGAAGTACCACACTATTTCACATGGGCTCAAACAAAAAAAATGGACACCCCGCAAGCAAGGCACATCGATTGATGCCTGTCACGGTTTATTCAAATCAAATGCCTTGGGGATAGTATTTACAGTCAATCCAAGGCAGACTGAGTGCTTTTATTGGTTAATGTCACCGACTCATTGTCATTTCAAGATATACGTAAATTCGATGGACATGAGCATCCAACGTAATAAGATGCATGCCTTGCAATCGGCTTGCTGGAAGACGACAATCAATGGGAATGTATGCTTGCTGAAGCAGCATTGAACTGTACTGCAAAGCAAATTCGCCTTCTATTTGCTATAGTATTAACTACATGTTTCCCGGTCCGTACAGAAACGTTATGGGACAATCACTAAGATTCGATGACGGATGATATGCGGTATGAACATCGCACACGTTGCAACGATCTAACGATAGCATTCAGCGATGCTATGTACAATGAAGCACTGATTGCTATTGAGGATCTTTGCATCATTATTGCCAAGTTGCCACTCATTCATTTCGTTATGCCTCAGCCAAACCGAAGTGCCTCTGAGTTATTAAACACTGACATGAGTCGTGAACTTCAATACAATACGGTAGAAAAGGCAGCGATTGTTACTCGCAATGTTCCACTAATGAATAAGGAACAAAGGAACATTTATGAACGCATTATGCTTGCAGTTTCGGCAGGTCAAGGTGGATTTTTCTGGATGCACCAGGTGGAACTCGCAAAACATTTATTATTTCACTAACTCTCGCTGAAATACGATCAAATAATGGCATCGCGTTGGCCGTTGCACCATCTGGCATTGCGGCAACTTTATTGGATGGAGGCAGAACAGCTCATTCAGTATTTAAATTGTCACTGAATATTCAAAACAACCCAGATGCAGTGTGCAACATAAAAAACCAATCGTCTATGGCCATAGTGTTGAAACACTGTAAAATTATCATCTGGGATGAATGCACTATGACTCACAAACATTCGCTTGAGGCGTTGAGCAGGACATGGAAAGATATAAAAAACAATGACAAATTATTTGGCTGCTCTCTGTTACTCCTTTCAGGTGTTTTCAGCCAAACACTTCCCGTCATTCCGCGTTCAACGTACGCAGATGAGATCAATGCTTGCTTGAAATCATCTCCACTGTTGCGTAATGTTGAAAAAATTCAACTGAAGGTAAATATGCGTGTCTAAATGCCTCAAGATCCATCTGCTGAAACATTCTCAGAACAATTGTTAGATATCGGTGATGGAAAAGTTACTAAGGATGAGACTGGATGCATAAGATTGCCGGACAATTTCTGCACAATCATTGATTCACAACATGGTCTCATTAACCTAATATTTCCCGATGTACAGTCCGCAAAAAAAAAAGATATCACCCTGAATAACTTTCGTTCTAATGATTGGATTTTCACGATCTAAGTGTCAATCTTAATGGTTCCCGGGGGTGACCTCAAATATGCTAATTAATTAGTGCTAACTATTAATTAAGTTACGAAATCAGACACAAAAACGTACTTTCTCTGAATAAACATGTATTTTTTTTTACATATTTGGATTCCTGACCTTCAAAATATAGGGGGTAGCCGCAATCTGGGAAATGTGGTCCCCATAGTTTGGTCAGGAGAGCGAT